GGGCCGCCAAAAACTCGGAGGCCCGCGCGGAGGTGTTGCTCACGTCGCTGCTTGCGCCTCTGTCCTCGGCCCAGGGAGGGCCAAATTTGTGATGGGGAGGGTTTTCGGCGTCCCCGGCCTTATAAAAATATATGAGTAGGAATACGTGCGTGTATATATATACACAAAAAAGTATACAGCTGCCTGCGTCAAACCCCGTTACCGCGCTTGTGCAACAGCGCAGCAGGAAGGAGGCTGATTGCAGGAAAAGCGCAATTCCGACGAGTGGTTTGAACTGGAACGGGTCGTGAATTCGATTTCGTCTTCGTCCGAGTGGTATGAAGCAAGAGGGTAGAGGTCACGCCCCGCTGCAGTTCAGTGGTTTGTCTGAACAGAGGAGGGTCGTGATCTCGACCCCGACCTGCTCCGCGCGGTAGGGGGGGGTCGAGTTCACGCTCCGCGGCAGGTCAGCGAATTGATTGAATTGAGGTGGGTCGTGATCTCGACCTCGCGTTCGCCCGCGCGGTATGAAGGAGTAAGAGGAGGAGGAGGAGGAGGAGGAGGAGGAAGAAGAGGAGGAGGAGGAGGAGGAGGAGGTGGCCTCTTGAGGCCCTTTTGCTGGGGCCTCCTGAGGGCCTCTTGGCGGTCTCTTGGGGGCCTCCCGGGGGCCTGTCTGACGCCTTCGGAGGCCGTCTTGGGGGCTTCCCTAGGCCGTCTTGGTGCCCTCTTGAAGCGTCTTGGGGCCGTCTTGGGACCTCAATGTTGTTTGCTTCCTCGGGCTCTCTTGGAGGGCCTCTGGCCCCTTGAGCTGCCTTAAGGCCGTCTTGGGAGCCGTCGTGGGCCGTATTGGTGTCATCTGGATTGCCTAGGAAGCCGTCTTGGAGGCCATTTTGCCCGTCTGGAGGCCGAAAATAGCGCAGGAGAGCTCCTTCAGCGGGGACGAATTTCAGCAGGTGCGCGTGGTGCGGGGGGGAGGGGGCCATAGAAAATTAAAGAAGCATCCCAGACAACAGCAAGCATTCTAACAGGCCCACTGGGCAAAAGGCCCGGTTGCGGATATGTGCTTACATATAAGTGTTTTCGAGCCCATTCCGCAACCGTGCTTGGGTCGTAGGTCAGAGGCTTCCTGGCGGCCTGTGGGGATCTTTTGGGGGGCCTCTCGGATAACTCATGGAGGCCGTTTTGGGGGTGTTTGGGGGCGTTTGGGGGCTTCATTTTGGCATTTTGCGTATTTAGGGGGGCATTGGGGGGGCCTCCTGGGGCCTCATTTGGGCATTCTGGGGGCATCGTGGAGCATCTTGGGCGCACCTCGGGGGCTTGTGGGGGGATCTTGGGGCCATCTTGGGACGGAGGGCTCAAAATGTCAGTTTGTGCTCCCCATCTTGGGCCACCCATGAGGCTGCCGTGGGGGGCCTCTTTGGCCCCTGTCGGGAGCTCTTTGGCCGTTTTGGGGCGATCATGTGCGTCTCTTGGGCCGTCTTGGACGCTCTGAAGACCGAAAAGGCGGCAATGCGAAAACCATACAAAAACCAATGGACGTTGACGATGTTGGCCTCTTGGACCGCCCTCCAGGGCCTCCAAAACGGCCCTAGAGGCACCCAGGATCCTTCTCCCCCCTCTCCCCATCTATATGTGTGTTGTTTGTTATCTCTCTCTCTCTCGTTCTCTCTCTCTCTCTCTCTCTCTCTCTCTCTCTCATGTATGTGTATAGCACCTTAGATTTCTCGATGTCTCTCTATATACACACCTATATATATAGAGAGAGAGAGAGAGAGAGATCTCGCCATCTCTCTCTCTCTCTCTCTCTCTCTCCCTTCCTCTCACTCGCTCTAGCTATCTCTCTCTCTCTGTCTCGTTCTCTCTCCCTCTCTCTTTCTCTATGGCTACTCTCTCCCTCTCTCTCTCTCTCTCTCTCGCACTCCCTCTCTCTCTCTACATATGGTGATAGGTATCTCTATGTATACATATACACATCTAAACATACATATTCCTTATCCTTATTACATGACACGGAAAAACCCGACAGAGATGGGCATCAGATAATTCCAGGCCCTCCCGGGGCACCGGCGGAGACCTGGAAAGAGTCCTCCAAAGCATCCCTTGGACCTTCCAGACACCCCACAAGTGCCTCCACGACGGCCAAGATGGCCTCCAAGAGGACAAGATGGCCTCCAAGACGGCCGAGCATAGCCTCAAGATGGTCTAAGACGGCCCCAAAGGCTCCAAAGAAGCCTCCAAGAGGGCCCAAGAGCCCTCCAAGACGCCCTCCAGGGAGGCCCGAAGAGGCTAAAATCATCGATGTTCCTTAGGTTTTTTGAAGGATTTTGGCATGTTCTTCTTTTCAGCTCTCCGACGGCCGAAGACGGCCCAAGAGGCCCCCAACATCGCCCCAAGAGCGCCCAAGAGCCCTCCAAGATGGTCCCATGACGGCCCAAGAGGCCCCCAAGAAGGCCCCAAGAGGGCCCCAAGACGGCCCAAGAGGCCTCCAAGACGCCCAAGATGGCCTCCAAGACGGCCCTGAGGCGCCCCAAGAGGGCCCCAAGTCGGTTCAGAGTGGCCTCCAAGACGGCTTCCGACAGCGTCAGACGGGCCAGGAAAGCCCTAAGACGGCCAAAGAGGTCCCCAAGAAGCCCCCGAAGGCCCCCAGCTGGCCCAGGAAAGCCCCCCAAAACGCCTCCAAGACGCCTCCAGGAAGCTCGCAAGAAACCCCAAGAGTGCCCCAAGACGCTCCTTAGAGCCTCCCACTACTCTCCATCTTCCTCTTCCTCTTCTCTTCGTGCTCATTCTCCCCCACATGATCCCCGAAGGCTTTCCAAACCGACTCGGAGAACTCATGGTCAGGTACCTTGGCCACGCTCTACCCCATCTCTCCGCCACATCGGCGTTTCCAAAAAGGCAGGTCCGCGGAGCATCAGTCCTCCTACTTCTATGCATTTATCCCCTCCCTTCGTACCGTACCCTCCCCCCATGACACCAGGAGTGCCAGCCACCAGGTTGTCCTGCGATCTTCTCCGTCATGGCAGTCAAGCCCGGGCACGATGATCGAACAGAGCATCAACTACACGTGGCGGGTAATGGGGGTACGGGCTTGCCCCTCCACAGCCCAGGCACGGTGGCCTGTAGACAAAAGCCGCTCACATACAAGCATACACATACGCACGCCCACATGCACGCACACACACCCACACACCCCTAGCACACTCACACGCCCCTCATCCACAACCACACATACCCTCACACGCACAGGTCACCACATACACACCCACGAGCACGCACGCACAGGCACAATCACACACACGCGCACTCACACCGGAGTGCCAGCCACCAGGTCCCCCTGCAAGCGATCCGCGCGTGATCCGCGCGCACATCTCGCACAACCACCTACGCGCCATCACATACACACAGGCACAATGCACACACACGCGCACATACACCGGACTGCCAGCCACCAGGTCCCCCTTCGGACGATCCGCCCATGATCCGCCCGCGCACCTCGCACAAACACCTACGCACACACACAGACACTACGCACACAACCCACAGCCAACACACTGGGAACCCACGGACTTCTCCAAGGTTCAAGGGGGGCCCCACCGTCCGAAGAATTGCCCCTCCACAGCCCATGCACGGTCGCCTGTAGACAAAAGCCACTCACATACAAGCATACACATACGCACACCCACATGCACGCACACACACCCACACACCCATAGCACACTCACACGCCCCTCATCCACAACCACACATACCCTCACACGCACAGGTCACCACATACACACCCACGAGCACGCACACACAGGCACAATCACACACACGCGCACTCACACCGGAGTGCCAGCCACCAGGTCCCCCTGCGGGCGATCCGCGCGTGATCCGCGCGCACATCTCGCACAACCACCTACGCCCCATCACATACACACAGGCACAATGCACACACACGCGCACATACACCGGACTGCCAGCCACCAGGTCCCCCTTCGGACGATCCGCCCATGATCCGCCCGCACACCTCGCACAAACACCTACGCACACACAGACACTACGCACCCAACCCACAGCCAACACACTGGGAACCCACGGACTTCTCCAAGGTTCAAGAGGGGCCCCACCGTCCGAAGAATTGCCCCTCCACAGCCCATGCACGGTCGCCTGTAGACAAAAGCCACTCACATACAAGCGTACACATACGCACACCCACATGCACGCACACACACCCACACACCCATAGCACACTCACACGCCCCTCATCCACAACCACACATACCCTCACACGCACAGGTCACCACATACACACCCACGAGCACGCACGCACAGGCACCATACCACATACGCGCACTCACACCGGAGTGCCAGCCACCAGGTCCCCCTGCGGGCGATCCGCGCGTGATCCGCGCGCACATCTCGCACAACCACCTACGCCCCATCACATGCACACAGGCACAATGCACACACACGCG